ATAGAAATCACGTAAGAATCTATCGAGCATGCATAGAAATCACGTAAGAATCTACCTAGCATACACAGAAATTGGGCAAGAATCTATCGAGCATACATAGAAATCACATAAGAATCTATCGAGCATACATAGAAATCACATAAGAATCTATCGAGCATGCATAGAAATCACGTAAGAATCTATCGAGCATGCATAGAAATCACGTAAGAATCTATCGAGCATATGCTTTTCACCTTCTATATTCATTCATACCTTTCTTCCATACAAATACAGAACAAAACCGAATGACGCGAAGAAATTAAAATATGCGGGGGAAGATTTGGAAAAAGCGGGGAGCGGGGATCGAGCGGCAAGAATAAATGAAATAAAGAGTGAATGTTATAAGCATATTAAGTATATCAATATCAAACATATACATTAATACAAATATGCAAATTGATATGCAACCGATAAGAATGAGAAGTGTCCCAAATCTTTTCCTTCGTCCTTCTCCTCGTCCTCGTCCTTCTCTTCTTTCATGATGAATTTCGAATAATACATGAATTGTAGAGGATTTATAATTGAATTAATTTTACTCTTTAAAAATGAGTTACATTTGTCTATCCTCTCTTTCTCAAAAAAAGAAGAAGGAAGAAAAGAAGGAGAAAAAGAAGAAAGGAAAGGAGGAAGAAGGAGGAAAGAAGGGAAAAAGGATGAAAGGAAAAAGGAAAGGAAAGAAAGAAGGAAGGAAGGAAGGGAGGAAGGAATAAAATTTGATGTAAATGTTAATCGAATAAATTAAAATTTCGCATTTTATGATTCATTCCATTTCTTTAAGTTTTAATTGATAGTTTTAAAAAAAATAATATAAGCAAATAAACAAAAAATATTGTTATTACATTGATTATTTTAATTACATTCGGGAAAATTAATAATAAAATTTATTTGAGATAAAAAAAAATTTTTTTTATAATCGAAAATTTCTTGGGAAATATTAATTTATTGATTTATTTTTACTAATATATATTAGCAAATATAAATGTATATTTATGTATTGAAGATAAAAATTCACTTTAATATTTATTGGGGAGAAATTTCAGAAAGCGATATATGAAAAACAGATGGTAGAAGATTTGATTTACAAATTATCAATTATTAGCAATGAACCGGAAGTATACTAATGAGAATGAATTGTTGTATATACAAATATATATATATATATATATATATCAATTCCAATGATTCTAATTCTGATAATCATTTCCTATTTTTATTAAAATTGTATTAATTGAGGCAAAATTTTCGGATATTATATAGTATATATCGAATTTCCTAACAAATGCTATGTAATGCTAATAATATTTATTACTATTAAAAATAGCAATTTACTATTAATTATAATAATAACGACAATAATAACAATAGTAATAGTAATAATAGTAATAGTAACAATAAAAATAGCAATAATAATGATGATTAATAACAATAATAATAACAATAATGAATAAATAAATAAATTAATTAATTAATTAATAATAATAGCAATAATAATAATGATAATAATAATAGTAATAATCAATAATATAATTGAATAATTAGAATGTAACAGTTATTATTTGCTAATCTTTATTAAATTGATGTATGATTAAATAAATTACAATGATACAGCTAATATGATAATTAATTCAAAGAGTGGAAAAACAAAATCTTTCAATCTTTTTTAAAATCTTCAAACGTCAGCATAGGTAGTGAGTTTGAAAAAGAAAAAATGATAAATTAATTTAAATTGGAAAAGAAAACTGAAAAAAAAAGCGATTGTCGTTTAAAAAAGCTTTTTTTTTTTGTTTTTTATTCTCTTCAAAAAATACAACAAAGAAAGAAATTGTAAAAATATGATAAATGAAATTTTAATAAATTAAAAAAAATTTATTTTAATAAATTAAAAAAATTTTATAAAATTTAAAACAATATTTTATATATCACATTTTAATATTATATATGTGTATATCGTTCTTTTTTTTTCGTTGTAAACTTTTTTCATTCAAAAAAAAAAGAAAAAGAATTGATTCCAAATAAATTGTAGCAAAAACTGGAACTGAATATACCTCTTTCCCGCCTAATTTTGTCCTTCATCATACAAAAAACAAAATTAATAAATCATTTCCATTTCTAGTTATTATTTTAAGTTTCATTATTAAATATTTTGTCATTTTATTATTATTATTATTATTACTAACTTTAAACAATCAATATAATAGAAGAAATTCATCGTAGTATAGGGATAAAAAGCTTAATGATAGTTGAAAATTGTTGAAATTGATGGAGGATAGAATTACCGGCGGAGATGTCATCAGACAATAAGAATGAAATGAAAGGACAGAGGATGGACGTATTCTCTCTCTCTCTCTCTCTCTCTTTCATTTATAATTTACTCACAAATAGAAGAGGTTTATTTCACATGGAGGGAAATGAGAATGACAAAAGAATGGAGGAAGAGGAAAAGGAGGGAGAGAGGGAGAGAAAGAGAGAGAGGAAAAGAGGGAAGAAAGAAGGGGACAGTCATTTGAAATAAGAGGTGACAAAGAGAGAGGTTTCTTATTAATGTATTAAAGATGGAGCATTGTGAATTGTTAGTAAAAGACTGATGAATAATATATACATATGTACATTTTGGTTGAATATAAAATAAATAGGACAAAACGGAAGGGAAAAAAAAAAGAATGTCATACCATTTTGATCTTATTTCTTATTTAGTTAATAAATTATGAAATATATTTTAATAACAACAAAGATATTTCATTTAGTTATCATTATTATCATTTATTATCATCGTTATTAACACCATTACTAATAATATTATTAATATTTACTAGTATTAACACAAGTAGTTGTAATAATCACTTAGTTATCATTATTATCATTTATTATCATCGTTATTAACATCATTACTAATAATATTATTAATATTTACTAGTATTAACACAAGTAGTTGTAACAATCATTTAGTTATCATTATTATCATTTATTATCATCGTTATTAACACCATTACTAATAATATTATTAATATTTACTAGTATTAACACAAGTAGTT